TGAGCACGAAGCCTGTGAATTCTAGCCAGGAAATTCAAACTGCTGTTTAGGCTCTGCTTGTGTTTGAAGAAGCTAAATTGAAGTTAAAGTTCCCTCGAGAAATAACTGTCTCAGCCCAGATGATAATTTCTCATTCCTCATCTTAAAAGCAACTGCCATGGTACTACTGGCAAGAAGAGTTTAACATGTTTCAATACTGAAAACATCGTGCCATGACAGCAGTCAAAACTGACTACAACACTGCAAGTAACCACAGCGAGAGAAATGGGCCAACTGCATTCCTAGAAGGGTGAACAAAAGTCTTTTCATATAGCAGTTCCTAATGAGAAAGAAGAATAAGGAGACACACAAAACCAGATGTACAACCAAAACCAAAAAAACAATTTGGTGCTAATAACTTCCTAGTGTATGTGGCTGAGTCACAGGCCAACCATAAAGAGATGCTAAGAACTAAAGGGGTTCATATTTGCATTTTTCATACCTTTACAATTTTTTTCTGCTTTAATAAACTCCATGGTTCAATGCAATGCAGTAAGCAACAGAATAAGGGAATACCAAGTAAATGCCAACATCAAAGCCAAGTGTGTCCATATTAGAAATCTGTAAATGCATTGATATTAAATGCCTCCCTGCCAAGAGGGGGTCTTAGGTTTCTGTGCTTATTTCCCCATGTCACCTCACAATGTCACTTCACAGTAATAAGAGGAATATTTTGAATCTCTTCTTTCAGTAATTTGAAATACCTGCAGAAATTTCAGTTGCATATTTCTACACTGATACTTGTTTAGTGACAAAAATGTAAGGTAAATCTTTGTTACAAAGTAATCAGATTGAAAACTGTCATAATGTTTTATTCATTAACAGCTATATGAAGAATAAATTATATAAAATTATAATTCTATTGATGTTAGAATAACTGGAAGATGATAAAGATTAAAATTATATCAGAGAATAATGTTCAAGAGATTAAACCTTTAAAGAAAAAGTAAGATAATTACTTATGTTATGGACCATACCAATATATGACAACAAGAATGTAGGCACAATAAAAAAACTATTTCTTTCCTTGCTATCCTTTAAAATTCATATATATTACATAAGAGAAATAAACAGACTGTTATAAATACACAACATACTCATACTTCACCCTGTGGTTATGTCGCCAGGTTATTACTTAAGCGTCCCATCCTTCTTGAAACACCCAGCATACCAATTGTACGACACAAAAAAGTAACTAACAGCTTTGAGTTTGATTAGACATATAGCCTAGACTGAGTGAGAGGCAATTACATCCTGTGGGAAAGTGAAAAACAGACATTTCTGTGAAGGAGCCTGTGGACCATGACAAGATTAGTACAAGGAATAGAAATGATAAATGTTCCATAAAACTCAATTCTTCTAAGTCTATTGTTTTGATATTGACAAAAGCTACAGATTTTAGTTCCTGCCTTGATTTTCCACAGATGTTTTGCATGTCTCCTCTGAAGATAAGGCTTAAGAGACATGAGAAAAGTTGAGTTGATTCTTGAAGACAGCAGCTGTTTACCTTTCAGGAAAGCATTTAATACACTAAATGAAGTCTAAAGTTCAAGTATGTGATTCAGAGATTCTGATGGTTCCGTTATGGAACAATGTATCACAGATGTCAAATTATTTTATCCTTACCACTCAAGACAGAATAGATCCACTTGACGCACATAAGACAGAGTTTTATTCCAATGAGAACTTTAAGCCCAGGGAGTATTTCAGGGTTAACTGGCACTACATTTCGTTTAAGGTCCTCTAACATAGCCTACTTTCCACATAAACCCAGGATAGTGTGATGTGTTACAGTGATATGCATCCATCTGTGGAAACATTGACTTCTTGGTCCTGAAGTTCTTAACATGCTTTCATTTGTATCTTTCTGCACACATAATCGAATAGTGAGGTAACCGACCTCGACTAGACAATAGAGTAACACTAAACAACCAATGTGGGAATATCTCATAAAATACTATTACTACATCTCTGATTCCTCCATCTAATATTCCAGATATTAATTAGTGCACAGATATTAATTAAACTTTGGGTTTTCTCATCTGATACATTATATCAGGGCAATTATTTGTAACTTGTATTTACTTTTCAAGCCTCTTTCTCACATCGTACACTGGAAGCAGAGAAGGTTCTCTGCCTTTCCCAGATATACTACTTAATCTGATAGAAGACTTGCACGACATGTCTGTACTATGTTTTTACACAACAGCAAATAAGCCCTATTTCCTTTTTAATTACTTCTTTGATATGTTATTCAACATCCATCCTTAAGGACAATTCACTTCAGTTGCCTGCCTTCCTATGAGATGAATGGCCTTACAGGAAACCCTATTTCTCCTCTCTGTCTATAGCAAAAGAATGGGATAACTAGCTCAGAGTTAGAATGTGGATTTTACATGCAATGTCAATATATTCTGAAAACTTTTCCAACTGGAGAATCTATAAATTGAAGTCAGAAAGGCTTTTATTGTGCCAACTGACCAGTGGTTGCAGCTGCACAGTTAAAAATAGAAAGTCAGCAGCTAATACAAAGCTCACGTTATCACAATTGTCAGGCAGCAATGACAAGCCAATGCCTTGGCTGTTCATGACCCCTTGAAGTGGTGCAATTACTACCGTTTTTATAAAAAGCTGTTTTATGCTAAAACAGCTAATAATTTAAAATCATGTCAAAGCAGTTCAATTTCAGCAATTATCATTTCTAGATCCCTCTTTTCTGCAAACCATTTTCAAACTAGTTTAGCAAAGTATTTTTTTTCAAAGGTTTTCTAGCAGGTTCAGTCCTGAAGAAGTACATTTCATTAAACAAAGTATGAAATATTTTTCCATTAAAAGAATAATGTTTAATATGTCAGGTGTATATACTATGTATAAATTTGAGTAAGAATGATCTGGTGGAGGCATGATCATTAAATGAAATGCTTCTGCTATTCTTTTTAAGTACAAAATCCTATGGAAACAGTAATTTTTGCAGATTTTTCAAAACAAACTGTTAGTAGGAATTTTCATTTCTGAGGTAGTTAAGGGGTGTATGGTATCCCAAAATGAACAGTGTTCCCAGGCGTATGCAGTATTTTTTTGTGGGTTTCACATGAAAGAGCAATGATATGTTCCACTTCTGTTTTCCAAATTGTTTACTGGTATATATATCAATGGTAAATATGAATATATAAAATTAATTTTAATTCTGTAATTCAGCAGGGTTAAAGATTAACTCAGACTAGTCACTGGCATATCATTCATCTGTATTTATAACAAATTCAGGATTATTAAAGATACACTTAAGATTTGTGATTTCTGAATTGTAATAATAAAATAAGTTTATAAATCAAGTGCATAACATTTCAAACACTATTTTAATGAAATTATTAATTGTATGCATAATTATTTCCCATACATACCTCTCTCAAGCTACTGAAGCAAGTTCTTCAATCCAACAACCAGTAAACAGAACTGGTGAAAGAATACCAGTGTTTCCTGTATTGATTTAGCAAATACCCCTAAACCTTTACCTTTCTAAAAAAGCTTTGACACGTGGGAAATAAAAAGCATTTCAAACTATCTTTGTTTTGTTTTAAAAAGTTTGTTTGTTCAAACTGTGAAAGTTTTAAACTGGATAGTGCTACAGCAGCTTGTAGTGTGGAAGGTCAAACATTGCCTAGATATGGAAGCAGTAGTTTCACATATTTTATGAAGAACACAGTCTTCTACTCAAAGAAAAAAAATCTGTGCTTTTGTGCTTCTTAAAACATCTTCTTAAGCTATTGAAATTTCCATGCTTAATTCTCCTCTAGAATAATAGAAGACCATTATGCTAAAAAAACCCACAAAAAACTCAAAACCAACCAACCAAACAACACCATACCTCTCCCCCCTCCCCATCCCCTAAACCAAAACAAGGGAAAAAACCCACACTCCTCAGTACATAAATAATGAATTCATACAGTTGCTACCAATGGCATCCCAGAAGTAGAAACATATTTGCGCAATAAGTCTCACTGGGCAACGATCTCAGGTAACATCATATATTACAGAGCATTAGCACGTATAATTTTAGACATATTCTTAATGCTGGTTTTGTTGGCTGTTTTTTATTTCCAATAAACCAGTGGAGAATAGCGATGCCTTATGACCCTAGGAATTAGAAATGTATTAGTAGCTACATCAAAATATGGCTTATGAAGGTCGCAATCCAGAGAGAAAGACTACACTGATCCTAGTAGAAGCACTACTATTTTAAACACTAGTGTTCTATCTTTTCTTCGATATACAAAAAGACACTACTCCACTGCCAACCTTTATCCAAACAAAGCTTTGGGAACAGCTGGGCAGATAACATAGTTTTCACTGAACACAGATGCTCTTTCAGGTGTCCGTCTCAAATACAGACTCAGTAACGCTTTGCTGCTGTTGAAGATTCCAGATGGAGGCTGTCTCATAAAAGCCAGTGGCTTTTATATCGCCCTACCCCTCTAATCAACATCAAAACTGCTACTCTAAGTTGTAGGTGAAATGCAATCAAATTGGACAGTAGACTTTTAAAAATACTGAGAACAACATAAACTAAAAAAGCCACCCTAAGTTGACCTAACTATGCCCGTTTCCATACAGAACAGCTACAATGAACTCCTAGGGATTGCTAGCAGCAGTGACAAGTCATCAAGAGATGCTTGGGGCAGTCACCGTGACACTTTTGGTTGGGCAAACAAAAAAATAAAAAATAAGATCCAGCAATATTTTCAGCAGATATGATTAATCAAAAATATATGGATAGGGCACAGTTCCACTCCCTGCAAAACATACACAAGAAGTATAAATCTCTGAAGTAACACTCAATGAAGGATACATGATTTTTAGTCCAAATTTACAAGAATAGTATATAACATGGTAAAGAAAAGAGAACTAAAACTACAAGTTATTACTTCAAGAATCAGGGTACATAAAGTTACTGTGATACTTACCACTGTGAAATTCATAACCTTCAAAATCCATATTGTCATTGCTAAGTTAACAATCATGGTAACCAACAGCAGAAGGACAAAGAAGTATAAGCACCTCTTTCGCCATCCATAAATCCCCACTGGGTAAAACTGAGGATGTTCAGTCCTTGGAAGGCTGTTCTGTTGTGTTGCTAATATATACTGCTCTCGTGTCATCTGGAAAAGAAAGATGTAATTATAAGTAAGCAAATGAGATGTCTGTTTTTCATAGATGTTATTATATGAAGATCATATGAAAATGTACAGAAAACCAGTTTCTATGGCACAGGTGGGATGTATTCATTCAGCATAAACCCCTCTGTTATTTTTACTAGACATTTATTAAGGATTTTGTGGTTTTCATTAATTTAAAGTAAACATTTGGTTTGATATTTCAAATTGCATTTGTATTTGAAATTTATCAGCAAAAAACTGTAAGAGTATTAATGTAATCCAGGTATGTATCTTACATTTCTGAAGACTAATTTATTATCCTTTACAAGGTCATTCAGGAAAATTTGTTTTGAAGAAAAAAGTCATGTAAATTATTTTGTACTGGTTTTGGCTGAGATAAAGGTACTTTTTTTCACAGTAGTTTGTAGCCAAAATTAGTCATAATAGAAGTTTAATCTTTCTAGAAATGCATCTGTCATAAATGAAGTTATCACTCTTCTATTCTACTTAGTAAATAAAAATAATGGTATATGCCATTATACATACACTCATATTTTACACAAAAGTATGTCATTGTATCATATTTTATACAAAAAGAAACACGAAAACCCTTCAGAGCTTTAAATTTTTGCCCAGTTAGGAGAAATGGATACTACCATCATCTGCTCTTTTCCTGAACGCGTTTTTCTAGCACACAAACAAGCAGTAACTGTTTGCAAACTGTTAAAGAAGATATTAATTCTTTTTTAGAGCAATAATGTTTGTCATTTAAGAAGAAACCATCTAATAAAGTTTACATCCTTAACTTTCTTTTACATATATTTACATTCATATTCAGCTGTTAGATTGCCTTTAGACTGGAAGGTATTCACTCTTCTCCATTACTTTAAAATAAAATTAAAGTAATCTTGTTCTATTTATGTAAAAGTTTTTCCTGAACATGCCCATTAAAAAAGACTGGTTTGATAGGCTTTGTGCTCAGAAGGAGGAAGAAAACCCAAAACAAAGAAATACTTAAAACAAACCAACAAAACCCACAAAAACTTATAAATCAGTGATCTGTTTTGCACTTAAAAACTGCCTTTCTTTTCACTAAAAAAGTAAAAAATTCACAAAAATAGGTCAGTTGCTTCAATTAGAAATAAAACCCACATTAAGTCCATTTGAAGGATCAAACAAATGTTGATTTCATAAGATCTTTAAAATGTAAACATCAAAAATTTTTACATAAACATCTGTATTGTTAGATATTTATCCAAATCAAAACTCTTAAGGTTTTACCATGCACTTGTTAGTGAATGAGATTTTAATGACATAAATTAACTCACTGTGAATAATAACAGCTACAAATCACAGAACATATATCCATGTTACAACAGTGTATATATCACTTAAACAATTCAAAAAGGAATAATGAATTTGTAAAGGAGGTTTTAAGCAAGCTAATAAACAGGCATGTCATTTTTATTCTTTTCAAACTGTAGTGTTTCTCTTTGACCATAATTCAATTAAACATAATGTTTAGTAGTTTATTTGCATAGTGCACTTTTACAAACAGAACTTCCCTCAACAATGTTTCTCAATCCCCCAAGAGCAAAGTGTCACCAGGCTTCCAGACCTCAGATCTCCTCCTTATTGTATCCTAGCAGTATTCATCCTAGCTATGTCTGAATTCCTTATGAATTCAGAAACTGAATGCACAAAAGGGTTACTAATATTCCTCTTTATAATGAGTTTTGACACATTTAGCTAGTCAGCCATTATAACAAAAACCCAACGTGTTACTACATTTTGAGAGTTGAATTAATTAGTATTTTTTACAACATTTCCATTGTCTTGTGGCCTTAGATTACTTATGAAACAATTATCACCATTTAGATAGTTGAAAAGTCAACTTCCATATTTTGAGGATATGTATATGATGTTGATATATATGTATATGGGTCAAACGAGTGAGGCTAGGTGAGGCCGGCTGTGCCCTGCAG